GGCGTTCCAGGGTTTGGCATAGCTGTGGTCGAGGAACACGAGGTCCAACTCGCGCTCATGAACCGACAGCTGGAAGAGCAGGGACGTTCCCATCCTTCGGGCCGACGTCTGGAAGTCTCTCTCTCCTCCAGGGCGGAACATGGTCCTCTAGCCCCACACGGAGGCTCTGCGCCGGTTCCCGCAAAAAAGGGACGCTTGCACCGTAAACATGAACCCTAGAATTAAACAACCTATCAGTATCAAGCATCCTGATAAACAGAACATTTGGGCCATTCCGTGTAAACTCAACCAGAGATCCCCGGCTAAATATTTTGATTTCGATTTTTTTTTCTCTAGTGAAAGAAATGCGTAAATAAAGATGGAAGCTGAAATAATAAATGTCACGAATGTACATTGAGTAATCTGCTGTTTTGTAGAGGAGGATTAAAATTACAATTTTCACCTGAGAATTAAGAGCCAAATTACAGGGGAGTAAAAATGACTTTAGAAACACAGCATGGCAGCATCATTATTTTATTTATTACAGACATTGGTAGGTCTATAAGAAAAATCTGTTTACTTCAGCAATCTTTGTTGCATTATATGCCAACTGTGACCGTTAAAAATGGGAAAAAGCTCTTCTTGTGTTTTTTGCCCCAAGTTTGCATGCCTGTGACTCAAAAAGTATCAAAGATGTATTAATATCCTCTAGATTCTGGGTTTTAATTAAAATAAAATGTATAATAAACATTTTAAAAAACAAACGTGGTACACTTTGCACACAACTGATCCTTATTGCATTTAAAGGGGAATGTCTGAAGAATAAATTTGGCTCCAAATCTCAGGTGAAAATTGTCATTTGACCCCCTCGACAAAATAGTTAATTACTCCGTCAATATACAATCATAACATTTAATATTTTGACTTTCATCACGATTTATGTTTGTCTTTCTTCGAGATAAAAAAAATCTTAACAAAATCAAAAATTTGAGATGGGAAAGTTTACGAAATTTAGTTGATTTGACATGGAATGACACATTTGCACTCGTGTGATGTTGTTAGTGTAATTATGATGAACTGTATCAAATGGCACTGTATATTAACTATGAAAAAAACGATTATCATGTCCAATTTTGTAGGTTAATTTGTAGGGGACCCTGCCTCTTAAACGTCAGGCAAGCCTCATAAGCTGTTGCAACCACTAAAAATGCTGCAAATATACCCAACATACGGAGGAGGACGGCGTTGCAGTGCTTAGCTTAGTTAAATGTTAATTTAATGTAACAGTTTCAGTTGGTGGCTGACGCGCGAGCATGAGTGGCAACGCCAGTCGCGAGGCTTCACGCATGGGCGTGTTTAGGGCCCGCGCCACACAGTCCGTCACATTCATGCCAGTTTGATACAGTTGAGCTTTTGAATCGCAATAATCTACCTGAAATATCCCATGTGTTACTTGACAAATGACGCAATACGTAGAAAACCCTCAAACGTTTACGTGTCGTCATTACGGTGTTATATTATGGTCTGGTAACGTTAGGCTTAGCTTTGAGGCTAACTCAATACACAATACTCACTGTTCGCTATCAGGCTCCTTTCATGTCATTTCGGTCCAAATAACAATTTTCTGTAACTTCTGTAAATAATACTGAAGAACTCGGAATCACGAGACAAGAAAACAATAAACTCCAATCCACTCTAATAAAGGTTTAGCTACAGACGACTGTCTTTTGTTGTACTACCGCGCCACAGCGGCTCAACGGAAAACCCGGACTGGAGTTCATTCGGCGTCAGTGTAGCTGTTGGGACTCCGAGAAACCCGGACTGGACTACACACTGCCACAATGTTACCACTATAAACACCGCCTTTGAAGATGTTGTTGACCTTTGTTGAATTATTTTCCTAGTAAAAAAAAAAAAGTACATTTAATTATTCTGGTGCTTTGTTTTGATATATCTTTCATATGGTATATTATTACTGTATGCTTCTTTTAGTACTGGTATATTTGGATTTCACTAAAATGTAGCTATTAATAATGAGCTATCCATTGGTTGAGCTAAAATGTTGGATGAGTACTTTCTTTATTTAAAATCATGGTCTAGTGCCTGTAATCTGACTGACATAACACTCATTTATTTGGGTCTACAGTAGACCTATTTATGTAAATTAATTTCATACATATTCATGAAATTAAAGCAGTAGTCCGCAGTTTTTCCTCTGTCGTCATTTCTGCAATTGCAGTTTGCAAATTAGTATTTGCAGTAAATGATACGCATAAATATGGTGGTACTTTTTGTGAGTGTGTGACTAAAAATCTGCTTTGGTGAATGAATAAATTAAACTTAAAACTTGTAAACAACATGCAAATGACTCTTCGCAGGATTAAGCCACTAAAACGACTATTAAATAAAAATAGGGACACATGGTATAGCGACAGGTTACATAATTATTAAGATAGTAGTATATTTAATATTAAGACTGCAAAAAATTATCAGAAGAGATCAACGGATCAAACGACCAGAGGAGAACTGGCCCCCGACTGAGCCTGGGTTCTCCCAAGTTTTTCTCTCCTTGCCACTGTCGCGTCTGGCTTGCTTAGTCAGGGACACTTAGGGCCTTTTCAAAGACCCACACTGCCGTTCTTGGCCACTTGAGGAAGTAAAGAAGCAACGGGAAGTAAGTCCGCAAGACTGTCCCATGTCTAAAAAATGGCAAAGCGAAAAGCTAAATCGCGAAATAGCGAGGAAAACATTCCACTGTAAGTTAAATTAATTAGCTATTACATATAATTTGGTAGTAAAACAAATTGTTAAAGTGTCTTTTTATTGGTGCAAAGATGAGTAGGCTATATGTATTTTGTGCAACATGTGCAACTGTTTTGTATCACTTAATTAGACGCACCACAATTTTAAATTGAGTTTTCTGTTACATAGGGACTACTGAACGGAAGTATTGAAAATCAAATCAAAGCTCTGTAAACACTTGCATTTTTGCAACACAGTGGGCCCTATTTTAACAATCTATGCGCATGGTCTAAAGTGTCTGGCGCAAGTGCACTTAGTGTGTGTCCGAATCCACTTTTGCTAGTTTAACGACTGGAAAAATGGTTGGCGCACCCCGCGCATGGTCTAAAAGGGTTGTCCCTATTCTCTTTTTTGTGCGTAACATGAAATAAACCAATCAGAGTCTCATCTCCCATTCCCTTTAAAAGCCAGTTGCGCTCGAACCATACGGGACAAAGTGTGCGCGCCGTGGACCCGCATATAGGCGCACGTTACTAACGTGCTCTTTAAATAAAAAATAAAAATATTGCGCCATTGACTTTAGACCAGGTTTCAGTCAGCCAATGGCGCAGTCTATTTTAGTTGCCTCAGAATAGCAATGTGCCAACAATACGCCTGAACACACCTCGTTTTCAGACCAGCGCCCATGGCTGCACAAATGGGCGCAAATGCATTTGCTATTCAAACAACGTGGTGCAGGACGTGAAAATGATAACTGCGTCGGGCTGGAACTAGCAAAAAACATTTGCGTCGCGCCTGGCGCTGCATTGCACCATCTGTATGATAGGGCCCACTAAGTGTGTCCAATCGGGTAATCAAAAGTTCTACACACACTTGCAGTCTTCACGCCTACTTGAACACTTGGGCCAAATACAGAAAATACGTCATGTAAGTAGACAAGTAATCAATTGCAAAGACCGTAAGTGTGGGTATTTGGAAAGGCCCTTAATATTCAGCAATATTATCATACTCATCTACGTTCCTCGACAGTTTTCATCATCCCTCCACCACCCCGACTCCTCACTCTTGGCTGGTTCCTAAAACAGCCAGGAATACTTTGTAGTATTCTGGAGTATTCTGGGTTCGGGCCAAAATACAGAGCTCAGAGACCTCTCCTCAGACAGCACGACAGATACGCATAATCTTTTACTCTATCTGAGGATTTGTAAGTGTGAACTCGCCAAAATCAAAACTTGTTAATATTTACAAAATACAATTTACTGTAATGATTTGGTGTTGGTGGAATGACAGCATTCAGCAGAGAGAGTGAGAATCCAAATGCGGTTTATTGACAATCATAATCTAAGGTCATAGTCCATACCAGGCAGAGGGTCAAGCACATGTAATCAGTCTGAACACACATATGATGTCACAAAAAAAAAATCAACATTCATCTAAAATATTAGTTATTCACCACTAAAAGCCTCTAAATCTATTTTATATACTGTATAAAATCATCTTTGAGTACAATCCCGAGGGCCTTTGAAAGGTTACTCTTTGGCTTGTTCCACTCCAGTTAATATTTTAGGCCAAGGAGGTCCAGATCCAAAAGCTTTGCCAGGATACGCCACTCTGCATCTTTAGTGGAAACCATTTCACAAATGAAAATTATCATAAATAACTTACCCTAATTTTCTTCTCCCATGGATCACAGAAGAGAAACATTGCAGAATGTACCAAGATCTCAGGGTTACATTGAACTGGTGTATTTCCCTTTGTTAGGTATAGTCCCTTTCCTAACATTATCTCTATATTCATCATTTTGCTTTCATAAATTGAGCATTACAATACTAACTTGGACTGGCTTGGTTGGGCTAGCTTGTGTTTAAAGTCATAATGTTGACTATTGAATATGCAAAGGGCAAAAAGAGTTCAGCATTTGTTAATACACAGTGGAGAAATCACATGGGGTTGACACAATCATAACACAATTGAGAAATATGTAAGAATAAGTAAGTTTGCATCTGGTGTTGCGATTGTGATTGTGAAACCGGTTATGATAAGTTACTGTTGATACAATGAAAAATACTTAGCTTTTGATAACGATTTCACAATGAACAAATTCAGCAATAACCATACAATAACACTACAAATATTCACAAAAATACATTTCACATACTCTATAGCCTATGTTGGAACTAACATTACGCTTACATTGAAGACTTGAAACGTATTATGCTGCATAAAAGTGCAAAGGTATTTTTAAAGTCAATAATCTTAGAAGCTGATCATCAGTGATCATGTGGTTTGGCCAGATGTTCCACCCCTCTTCTGTTTTGTTTAAAAAGACCCAATGTGCTACAACTCCATTTTCTTTGGACCATCATCTGTGCTAAACTTGCAAAAAATGGTGAGTTTAATGCTACTGAATTTCAATATAGTAAAAATCAATCTAGATATGAAAATCAATGTAGAATTTCAATCTACATATAAACATTACCATTGTTTTTATAACAAGTTTCTCTTTACAGACATCTTTGGCTCTGGTTTTGGTATTTTGTGCCTTTGTCTCTTTAAGCAATTCTTCCTGTTTCCATGAACTTCCAAAAGCAGGTAAATTAAAATACACAAACTAATACCATATTTTGCCCTCACATATTGTGAAAGAATGATTAATGCACTACTGAGACTTTTTAAAGTCTTTTAATATTAACACGAAGTTAACATTTTTAATACAAGTGCATGATTCATTGGAGTATCATGAGTTACTCATCACTCTGTTGTTTTGCAGCAAAACAAATATTTAGGTAAAATATCAAAATTGATAAATGTTTAAAGGGATACTCCACCCAAAAATGAAAATTCTGTCATCATTTACTCACCCTCAAGTTGTTGCAAACCTGTATGAGTTTCTTTCTTCTGCTGAACACAAAGCAAGATATTTTGAAGAACGATTGGAACTTTGGCATCATTAACTTCCATAGTATTTTTTTTTCCTATTAAGTCAATGGTGCCCCACAACTGTTTGGTTCCAATAGTTCTTCAAAATATCTTCCTTTGTGTTCAGCAGAAGAAAGAAACTCATACAGGTTTGCAACAACTTGAGGGTGAGTAAATGATGACAGATTTTTCATTTTTTGGGTGGAGTAGCCTATACCTTTAAAGGAAACTGTATCTATAATGTCCAAACTATTAACACAATATATGTAAAAAATTTTTTTTTTTTTTTTTACAATTTTAATCATCTTTTTGGTTCCCCTATTTTATTTTTCAGTCTTGTCCTGTAACAAATCAGTATTATATTTTTAAAAGTAGTTTCTTAATTAATTAGAGGTCATTTGAAGAAATCAACTTTTGTTGCAAAGTGGTCATTCAACCACGTTGGTTTATGACGTCACGCAAGTGGTGGAGTAATCACTTCTTTTAATGAAAATGTTTGAGATCGAATTAATGCTAGATGTTTTGATATAAATTACAGACATGGCATCTGAGGACTAATTCTCATTTTTCTCAGTTATTTCGCTTTATTTCCAGATTCAATCACAGGCTTGTCTTACATAGTAGAGCATTAAATAGTAGTGCTTTAAATATCTCAAAGACATAAATGACATTTGTATGTATTCTAAATAAAAGACACAGGTTGATACTGAATGTCAGCTTGCTTATTTTGCTCAAGATACGGATTTATTAAGTCCACATGTCATGCAATCTAGAAACTATGCTTCTAACCACAGGTCGAGAGCTGTCGTTCCAACCACACAACTTTGCGATGCTGTTTACGAATGTTCGTTGGAACGATGGTTTCGGGAAACACCGACTTATTGAACTATGCTGATAACGACGGAACTTGCGACCATAGTTGGCAAACGATGCTTTTGGGAAACGCACCCCTGAGTTTAACTCCAATCATTATTATGTGTAGTAATAAAAAAACGTCTCGGGGTATGACTGTAAACCATGTTCCCTGAGAAGGGAACGAGACACTGCGTCGATTACGACACTTTGGGGAATGCCCCCAGCGTAGCGTGTCTGAAGCATTAATGAAACTATTCCAATCCTGATTGGCGTTAATCATGGCGTAACGTGTGACGGCATACACGGAAGCTACAAAGGGATGCCGGCACACAACACCGTCAGCTTCTGCGATGAAGCATGTAGCTCCCTCCCAGGCAGGGGAAGGCATGGCGGACAGACGCAGTGTCTCGTTCCCTTCTCAGGGAACATGGGGAGCCACGTGTAGGGGCCCAGGAGGATGCAAAGCCTCTCGTGGAGTGAGCATGCAACCTGAGCGGGCAATGCACGCCTTGTGCAATGCACTCCCCATCCAGTGGGCCATCCTCTGCTTGGAGACAGCCTTTCCCTTCTGCTGGCCCCCGTAACAGACAAAGAGCGGGTCTGAGGTCCTGAGGATTTGAGTTCTGTCCACGTACAGTCGCAGAGCGCGAACGGGACAGAACAAAGCCAGGGCTGGGTCTGCCTCCTCCAGGGGCAACGCTTGCAGGTTCACCACCTGGTCCATGAAGGGAGTGGTAGGAACATTAGGAACATAGCCATTAGGCACATAGACAACATGGTTGTCACCAGGCCCGAACTCTAGGCACGATTCATCGACTGAAAATGCCTGAAGGTCCCCTACCCTCTTGATAGAGGCCAGTGCAACCAGCAGCAAAGTCTTCATGGAGAGAAGCTTAAAAGTTCAGTCTTTTACACTTGAAGCCCTGTTTCAAGATCGTTTCTGATGAAATAGAACGGTTAAGATTAAAATTTGGACACATGCTGCTGTCCCGAGAAATGTCAGTTTCTGTGGTTGCCCCAAAATACCGAACTTGTCCTTTAAGTCTGCTGATTACAAAAGGCTCAAAGGGAGCATCCTGGAGTGCTCGAAGCACCAGGGAAAAATCCCAAGAGGGTATGGAGGGGGGTCGAGGAGAATTTAACCGTCTCGCCCCCCTAAGAAACCTGACGATCAGGTCGTGCTTTCCTACTGTTTTGCCATCTATGTGGTCGTGCTATGCTGAAATAGCGGCAGCATGTACTTTGAGGGTGGAGGGAGACAGCCTTCGCTCCAACCCTTGCTGCAAGAAGGAAAGCACGGATCTTAGGGGGTCCTCTCGGCGAGAAGAACACCACATACGGCTGGTACACACCTCGTGGATGGTCCAGCGCGTTCCGTCGACGGCTCTACTGGCTGCGGAGCGTGGGAGGGATGAGGGTTCAGGGGGTTGCTTCTCTGAAGGAAGCTCGCTCACTGTAATCCTCAGGTCACCTGCACTACTGCCTGAAGTAACCCTCTGTGGAGGGTTAGATCGCGGCAGAGGCGCAAGGACTCTGCCCCTTTGCAGGAACGAGAGTCTCGACCGTAGCTCCGAGATGGTCATCCTCCCACAATGGGTACATGACTCATCCACGAACGCTGCCTCAACATGTTCAATGCTCAGACACGTGATGCAGCGCTCACGACCGCATCCAGAAACACACAGGTAGAGTGACATCTTTAAAAAGACGCGCTCCACCCGTGTAAGCTCTTTTAGGGACTGCTCTCCTTGGTGCTGAAGCACGCAGGGGAACGGGCGCAGCGGATACAGACAGGAAATGTGCAGCCTGTCTTGGCCTGTCTGAAGCAAAAAGCTGAAGTGCAATCACACCTGCTGCTCATTATATACCGGCGCTGGGTGGCTGAACAGCTGATGCAAATGATTGCACGCCAATGTGCATTGTAGATTGGCCTCTCTCGAGAGATTCCTTTTCGTCGGTACCCGACGTGGCGTCGAGAGACCTACTGAAGAGGAACTATGGTTATAAAAGTTTCATATGAAGTATCCCAGCTGGCATTTTAACGTTGAGTCACTGTTGAATCAACGTCAGGTGCCAGTGTTGGATAACCGTTGAATTTTGTTTAGATTTTGCAAATCAGATTGCAAATTGGATTTTGGAACAACGTTATTTTTCTACTGATATATTTCAACAAAATGTTTAAAAGTCATGGTTGTAAAAATAATGTTGATTTGACGTACAATTCAATTTTTATTTATATTTCTATGTTGAATCCGTAGTGAGTCAACAACACAACGTCAACTATTTGGTGTTCAGCGTTGTTTTAACGTTGAATTAATGTTTTTTCATAAACTGACATTATTTCAACCACATTTAAACGTTTAATGTCAGTCGAATGCCAGCTGGGATAGCATGCTACACTGCAGGACATATCAGCTCGCCAAAGAATATTTAATGTACTAAAAAATAATATAAAATAAGTGAATAGTTATATATATATATATATATATATATATATATATATATATATATATATATATATATATATATATATATATATATATATATTAGGGTGCATCAAATTTGAATGGGAAATTTTAATTTCAAAATGTCAATTTGGCTGGCATTGCATTTTGTTCCAATTAACATAAAAATGACTTTTGCAAAGTTTTAAGGAATTCAATTGAGATTTAGGGGTGCCACCTAACACATGAACTTTGGCGAAATTTCAATTTTTAGTCTAATTGCCAAAAGGTTGACCTGGGAATGTTGAGTACAGTGAACTTTTATACAGTAACATATTCTATCGGGTTATAAAAGTAAAAGTTGTTTGTTTGCCATTTGGGCAATTTGGGCATTTCTCAGAATTCAACTTTCAAGATTCTCCATTCATTTGTCCTATAGACAAATGGGACATGGGACATGTTCACGTGGCCTTACCCTGAATTTTGTGCAGCATGGATGGATGTCGGATGGATGTCTAGTTGCTAACTCACTGGCAACTAACAGGGCCTAATGGTAAGAGCTGACACTAACTAAATTTTAAACTTAATTGCTCAGTCTGTGCCAGAGTCTGCTCCACTGAGCAACATCACCAGGGACAAAGAGAGAGGAAATGGAACCTGAACTCTGAACGTAACCAGTGCGTCTCCCCCAGAAATGTCTCCCCACCCGCCACCCAAGAGTAACCGTCCTATTCAGGGATTGGCTAGGGATTGGCTTGCGTTTGCAGTGGCGAAGGTTTGGCTGTATGTTGCGGTCATGTTCAACTGCCTGCAGCACATTCTTTCCTTCACATTCTGCTCCTTCCTTGACACTGCGACGAAGTCGGATGTGAGCTTGACGCCACGATCGGGACACAGTCATTGACCACGTTCATTGCACGTACATTGACCTCACTGTGAAAACCTGGTTCAGGAGGACCTCACCAATGTGGTGCCGGCACCCAGACCAAAGCAGTGGTCGACCCAGTGAGAGCTGTATGGTAATGCAGGCTGCTGTGAGATGGCCGGTGTTTGACGCAGTGGTGTCAAATGCCATGTTGTGTCAACCGGGCAATGATCATTCCACATGCCTCATTGGTCTGCATCTTATACGCTGGGACACCAAGCAGTTTCAGCCGCTCTGTATCTCCAACCACTACTGTAAAACGCACCTCCAACTGGCGCACATTGCTGAGCATCTGTGTTAACTTGCTGTCCCAGTGTAGGGTGCACAATGGAGGTGGTGTCCACTGCTTGTGCTGTTCCTCACTGATTGTCTCCAGCACTTGGCGTCTTGCTCGGTTAGCATTTGCGTAAGATGCAGAGAGATGTGTACATTCACTGCCTAACTCTGCAACAAGGCCACGTGTGAAGGCAGCCTGTTGCATTGGTGACATCTTCAACCTTGTAGCCAGAGACACGACACTTGGTCGGCTAAGGATGTCATGTGGAATGAAGACGTTTGTCTAGTCTTCTTATGCTTGTGGGATGGTTCGCCCTCAGATGGTGGATAGACTGTGTTAGTATCCTCCTCTGTCTCCTCATCGCTCTCCGACTCCAAGCTGGACATTGCCGTCATCTCCTCCAGCTCCTTTTCACAGGGGGACTGCCTGGCTGCTGCGGCAGCTTGACGCTCCTCTCGCCTCTTGAGCTGCAGCTTTTTGTCCAATACACCAAGGGCCGGTTTCACAAAGATAGACTTTGACTATGGCTTAGATATAGTAGATAGTCAGACTTCACATAGACATCTAAATCAGACCATTGCACAAAGCGCTTAAGGCTCTGACTATCTTAAGTAGGACTACACTGCAATGCATTCTGGGTAAAATAAGACACTTTTCAAAACAAAAAACATGGCGGATCGAGTAAGCGCATTCATCCGCTCAGTGCAGTTTACCCCAGCGGAAAATATATGTTTGTTGGAGGAGTATAACAGTTACAAGGACATTTTAATTGGGAAATTTAGCGGAGAATGTAGTAACAAGATGAAATGTTTAATTTGGAAAGGGCCATTTTCCCTTTGCTTTTGGCTGTTTGTAATGTAACTGATTGTTACTGTTGGTTGCCAAGGTAACAGAGTCTTAGACCTAAGTTAGCCTGGGGGGGAAGGCGTCTAATTTTTTTGGTCTAAATTAAGTCAGTCTTTATTTTTGTGAAACAGTCTAACTTGCATTAGACTAGTCTATGAGCAAATTTTAGACTTGTCTAACACTATAGACCGGTCTAAAATAGCTTTGTGAAACCGGCCCCAAATGTGGCCACTCTCTCATTCTTCATGCTGGCCAAGAAAGTTAGGTCTTCTGGGTTATCAATCAGCTTTTCAACATTTGGAGGCCACAGCGGAAATGTGGCATCAAGTCTGCACTCCATTTTCTCCAATTGTTTCGCTGTAGTCTCACTGGAGCGATTGGCCTGGGCGATTTTCCGCAGCTTGTTGTTAGCATTGACTAAGTCTACCACCAACTACAATGCTACTCTCAATAAACATGAGTCATCTATACTGTGAATATGACATTGTCCACTCTAGAATACTGTTGATGTTAAGCTTAATAGCTTAGCTAACATAGATAGCTAACTGTAGTTAGCAAACTGTTGCTAGCCAAGATGTAATGAGCACCAAATACCTATAAATATGACTTAAATGACTTATGATAAATAAGTATACAAAGATACAATTCCAGATATGATAGTAATATGTAATAACACAGAAAGATCACCTCAAACAGAAAGATCACCTCAGATTTCTTGAGCTGTAGTATTGTTTACCTCAGATCTCAATGGCGACCATTGAGCACTGTTAACCACTTTATCCAACAAAAACAGATGTACGGTGGCACCCCTAAATCATCATGTACTGGAAAAATATTTTGCATTTGTTGTTTATATTGGAACACTTTTAGCACCCAGCCATATCAAAATTCAAGAATTGTGTTTTTTGATGCACCCTAATATATATATATGTATATATAAAACTATTCATTACTTACTCCCTAAAGTTTAGCCAACTTTTATAATTTTGTCCAATCGAATTGGACAAATCAATTGGATAAACACAGTAAATGAGGTTTATTACAGAAGTTTCTTTATTATGATTCTTTATTAAAAAGATTTACAGTGAAGAATAGAAAATATTCAGCTACAACAAGGTTGTAATAAACCATGTTTGTGATTCACTCACCGACAGTTACTTAACATTTAAATGATGGTGAATGTATGTACACTATTAGGTAATTAAACACTATTTCTTATTAACAACTCTTAATTTGTTTGAATTCATATAGGGGCAACAGGTTGTATCGATGGCTATGATAAATCCAAGCATGCATTTGGAAGTACTTCAATGACAAACGACAGATGTATCAGATGCCGTTGCACCTCCAATGGAATGTCCTGCTGTGACACGTAAAATATTTAACATGTTAATTATTGTGAAAACTTTACAAAACCAAATATGTTGTTCTTTAAAACTAAATAAAATTTAGACATTTCCCTCAGTTTCAGCTACAGAGAAAACTTTAGACAGTAACACATTTTTTTTACTCTAGTGTGTTATTTGATATTTGATATTACATATAAAGTTAATATAAATTGGGTAACACTTTACTTGAAGGGGTGTGCATTAGACTGACATGACACCTTCATAACCATGGCATGACATATGTCATGAATATGAAGTAGGGTTTATGCATGTTTATGACAACTGTCATTAAGTGTCTTTCGCTCAATAATGACATTTTGAATGCAAATATGACATTGTTTAAGATGTCTTTGTTATGAGATCTTGACATAAACCAGAACCTGTCAGTGTATTTGTCATGACAACTTGACATTAAATTAAGTTAAACTGTCATGTGGTTGGTTTTGACATTGGCTGTCATAAGGCCATTATAACTGTGTCATGAATATTTTTCATGACCTCAACTACAGTGGTACACATTCAATTTGTCATTAAAAAGTTATAATGGCTTCATGACAGCCAATGTCAAAACCAACCACCTGACAGTTTAATGTAATGTTAACCCATAAAGCTAAGTGGTTTCTTAAGTTTGATAATTAATCAGCTAGGTCATGTTTATGACAGGTTGTGTTGTCTTAGTTATGTCAAGTTGTCATGACAAAGACAGGTTATGAAGTATTGGTTTATGTCAAGGTGTCATAACAAAGACATCTCAAACAATGTCATATTTGCATTAAAAATGTCATAACTGAGCGAATGACACTTAATGACAGTTGTCATAAACATTACAGCACATGCACATTTGAAGTGTTTCATCCAAAAGATCCCAATATTCAGTGTTCCTATGGTGCTGTTGGAAAATAATTTCCAATGATTGAAAATTCAAATCAGTGATGTGTAGTGCGTATTTAGACTAAAATATCCACTGCTTTTGGATCCATCCCGGACTACGCTTCCAACTGAAATTAATAAACAACTAAAAAAGGTTAAATATTGATAACCAAAAGGTCTGGCATTCAATGCTTTCCTTCTTATTTTTATCGCTAAAAAGTTCTTATTTTAAAAGTGAAGCTAATAAGAGAACATCTTATATCTGTAAAAAATAGTTTATACCTTAGCATTTGTCCATGTATAAAGGCCAATGCATGCTGGAAGATAATTTTACTGTAAAATTACTGTAGAATTATTATTTGATTGTATTGTTGATTAACTAGCTGAGTTGTTAAAATTACTAAAAATGATTAAATAAAATGTTCTTATTACACATTACAATACATTTGTGTGAAAATAATATTTATAATCTCACTTTTAAAAACCTCACTTTTTAAAAGAAATTTAAAAAAGACGTAAGAAATGAAGTACGATTAGGAATTTTACACCCTTGTAATGGAAACTTACACACACATGCACAAATATATTAATTTATGAATGAGAACAGAAGCAAATACAAAGTTTGTGGATTACATTTTGAAAGACTTTACTTTATATGAATAGTGTGTGAAGTTACTGGTAATTTTATGTACATTTGCAATCAAAATTATTCAACTGTATATGGGGGACAGTTGGACGGGGATTGTAATGATTTACAAATTAATCCGTTTTCCTAAAAATACAGTTTTTTTTAATTGCATCTATAACAGTTTAGTGGCAAATTAAAAGTGATAATGTCAATATATGATGTAATGCTTTTGAATTATAGGATTTTTTTTTTGTAATACTATGTCATAATTATTCAATCCCTATTCAACGCTGCTGTTTTTAAGTCACTTATTTGTATGGTATAGTACAAAATTGTTTTAAAATACATTTAAGCCTTTGTAAACTCTATTCTGTCACACATACATACATTTAGCCCATGCATGTGCTAAAGGTGAGTAGTAAATATGGGCCAAGTCAAAAGAGCTCTCACTAATTGTTTTATTACATTAGAAAGTCTATGGCTACAAGAAGATTTCCAAAACACTAAAAGTTCCTAGAGACTCAGCTGGCACCATTATTCATAACATAAGTTTAAAAAGTTTTGACTATATGACGGACATCATGAATTCTTTGAAGTATCAAGCCATTTTGGCAAAGATGGTTATGCCTTCAGTGCAGAGACCGAAGCTTGATGATCAATGGACTTTCCTGCAGAACAAACATCTCAAAGTATACACCCAAACCTACTGAAGCTTGGGTCAGGGATCAGTCATAATGTTCTTGAGTGGCCTGTACAGTCTTCACATTTACATCTCATTGGAAATATTTGGTGGAATGGAATTTGAAGAAAGCAGTGGTGATGTGAAACCTAAAAAATGCTGGGTTGTTTCAACCCAAATTTGGGTCAAATATGGACAAACCCAAATGTTGGGTTAAAAATGTAATTAAAAAATGTACAGTTGAAAGTGAAAGTTGAAGTTGGGTTAAAATTTTAAATTACATTTTTAACCCAACATTTGGGTTTGTCCATATTTGACCCAAATTTGGGTTGAAACAATCCAGCATTTTTTAGAGTGTATCAATGATCTGGAAGCTTCTTCAAGTGAGGAGTGGTCCGAGACTGCAGTAGGTGACACAAGCTCTTGCATGAAGCATTTATTTGAGGTTTTAAAGAACAAAAGATTCTGCACAAAATTTGACTTTTGGGGGTTAAATAATTTTGTACATTAATGTTTAGAGCCAAAATTTCTCAGAATAATTCAGATGTGTATTTAACTTTCTATAATAGTTTACTGATGAATTGTTTTCATGAAATTTGAAAAATGTCTTGCAGGTTAAGGGGGTTGAATAATTGTGTCTTTGGTGTTGTCTTAAAGCATGTTAAAAACACCACATAGACATATAAACAACATTAAAAGCTTGATTTTAACCACACAGGGACTTTAACTTACAGTTTTCTAAATGCAAATCCTGTTCTTTTTTCATAAATCGTAGTGATTTATTGGTATCTTCCAATTAGGCATGTGTTTAACCATGAGAAAACATGTGAGGTTGTGTTTCATGTAAAAAAAAATAACCTCCAAAACAGTGATGCTGATATAGGCAAACAAAAAATATATTTACTAAAGCCCTCATCTTCAGGTCTATGGACTTCTGATCTGGCTCTGAATCTGGATACTGTCTAAATATTGAATTTGATGTCTTTGACCTGTTCTAATGATTTAGCAGTACGAACACTGAACCATCTGTTGGTCAGATAAGAACGGAACCACTGTAAGACTACGCCACGAAAGCCCAGAGATATCTCCAGGCATCTCAGCAGGACCTCATGGACGACCAAATCAAATGCAGCACTCAGATCTAATATAACTAAAGCTATGGATCAGGCAAGCACCAACTGTGTCCATGATTTGTCTCAGGAAAAGAGGTAAAATAATATCCCGGCGAGGACAAATAGTAGGTATTAGGAGACCAACAATTCCCTTACATGAAACCAGGGGCCCGTACCATGATGGTAGTTGAACAAACTCAGGACCATGTTGGTACCATGACGCTGATCATCATCTTTCTCTGTCAACTCTGGCTTTGATCCTGAGTTTAGGTGTGATAAAGGTGCTTCTCGTGAGAGAAGCGTGTTGCGGACTTTAATTCCACAACAGGGCCAATCTGACGGCGATACCCTCACGCTGGCTAAAAAAAAGTACTTCACATCCCCTAAAACACAGCATAAACAAATAGATTAGAAAACTACATATCATTTGCATTATTAAAATGTATATTATTTATACAATCACTCTATAAGTGTCACTCTATAAGTTTCTGGTGTTTGACCCCAAACACCAAGATTGTAAACAGGAAATGAGGAGAATATGTGGGTGTTTAGACCTGATAATTATGAAGAGTATGCATAGTATGATTGCATCATAAGCCATTTTGTTAAAAAAATAAATTATTTCTAACAATTAATCCTTTTTTTTTCAACTTCAAACTTACACTCGCCAGCACTGCATGCCTTAATTCTTCGTTGCTTAGATTCAACAAGGTTCTGGAAACATTCCTCTGAGATTTTAGTCCATATTAACATGATCGCATCAGTTGCTGCAGATTTGGTGGCCGCACATCCATCATGAGAATCTGCAGTTCCCTTTCGTAGTCACTCCGAGTTACGTCGGATGACGGAGAATGGGGGTTTCGCCAGAAAGCCAATCCTCTTCGAGTATTAAAAAACGAGCCAATGGCAAGAAATGCCATGGGTCTGCGGAATTTGCATAATGTATCTCCGCCTCACTGCGTGAGTATTTAAGGAGAAACACCTGCAACAGCAGATCATGTTTTCGCTTCGGAGCCAAGAGAACCTCTTCACTCCACAGCCACATCTGAGTTTACAAGTGACTCACCTCTTCGAGACGAGCGAACTCTCCAGTGTTGGTGTGACGGCGGTACCCAGCGAGTCTTCACATTGCCTGCGATCTGTGCAGTGGTCTGCCTGACTTTGTGTTTTCTCCCTGGTCGCCTCAGCATTGCAGAGTTTTTCCTCTCCTAAAAGAGCTGCACGTGGCACGTCTTTTTAAAGATGTCTCGCCCGTGTTCTTCTGGTTGCGGTCGATATTTGTCGTCTTCTGATGGGCACGAGCGCTGCTTTGTGTGTCTGGGCTTTGAACACGCTAAAGCAGCGCTCGTGGATGACTCATGTTCCTTCTGTGGGAACATGGCCATCGCAACACTAAGATTAAGACTCAATGATCTTTCAGTGAGAGTCCCCGCGTCCACCACCCGTTCTGCTTCCTCCACGAGAGGTGGTAGTTCGGCTGGGGGACAGGGTGATCTGAGGGTGACGGTGTGGAGCAATCCGACGATGCGTCCTCGGACCACGCCCCCCTCCGCTGTGTTGCAACCCGCGAGTGCCGCGGTGATTCAGGCGGGCTCTTCTTCGGAAGCCCCGCGTGTTTCATTCGGCGCTCCAGAGGATGACGCGATGTCGATCGCGGCATCACAAGGTGGGCTTGAGTCTTCAGGAAGTGAGGATGCGGCTGCGTTGCCTCCTTCGGGAGTCCCAGCGTTGCCCGTATCGGATCCTGAGATGACAGCCATGCTGTCCCGGGCAGCCGTGAGCATCGGGCTAGAGTGGAACCCTCCGCCCTGCCCCGAGCGCTCGCGGTTGGACGATTGGTTTTTGGGTGCGGCTGCCGCCTCACGGCCTCAGCCAACCCCAATTCCTTTCTTCCCGGAGCTGCATGAGGAGCTGTCGAGATCATGGAAGGCTCCTTTGACCTCCCGTGAACGCTCGTCAGCTTTCTCCGCCTTTCCTCCCCTCGATGGCGCAGCTGCCCATGGGTACACTGGGATTCCCCCGGTGGAGCGCTCTGTTGCGATGCAACTGTATCCTCAGAGCGCCTCCTCTCGTGGCAATCCTAAGCACCCGTCTAAGGCCTGTAGATTCTCGTCATCTATGGTGGCGAGGTCTCACAGAGCTGCAGGACAGGCGGCTGCTGCCCTGCATGCGATGAGCACCTTGCAGGTCTACCAGGCCCAGCTGCTCAGAAACATGCACGAGGGCAGGACTGACCCAGGGACGTTCGACGAACTGCGTGCCGCCACTGACCTCGCTCTCCGGGCGACGAAAGTGGCCTCACGCTCCCTGGGTCAGGTGATGGCCACTAATGTGGTCCAGGAGCGTCACCTATGGCTGAACCTGGCCGATATGCGGGACGTTGAGCGGACTCGTCTGCTCGATGCTCCCATATCCCAGGCCGGCCTCTTCGGCGGAGCGGTTGAAGACTTCGCCCAGCAGTTTTCAACCGCACAGAAGCAGTCTGAGGCGATCAAACATATTCTGCCCCGACGGCCAGCTGCTGCCTCCACCCTGCCGTCGGCACAGACGCCTCAGCCTGCGCGCCGCCGAGGGCGCCCTCCTGTGGCTCCCGCCCCTCCCGCACGGCCCCAGCAGCAGCCTTCACCCGGGCCGCGTCGTGGAGGAAGCCGCAGGAAGGCGTCCCAGCCCCCTCAGGCCCTGCGCCCCGCTAAACGCCAGGCCAAGCGGCGCTCCTGAGACGGGCTGCTCAGTGATGGTGTCGGTTTTTTCACAGGAGGCGGTTGCAGGCCCCCTCCTTCCCCCGGTGGAGGGCCGGGGGAGAATCTTTTGTTCTCCACTCCCCGCTGCTCACCCACGGGTGGGCAGCACCCTAATGTGGTTAAAGAAAGAACCGAAATGTCCATCACTGAGCACACAGAGCCGGATGACAGTGCGCGACGCCCCCGTGCCTCGCCACTCTCGTCCTCCTCTGTCTCTGAGGGCGAGGATGACAGTGCGTGCCGTCCCCGGACCACACCACTCTCATCCCCCTCTATCGCCAGACCCCTGGCAGAGCAGACCCCCGTGGAACGCTGGTCCTTCCCTGGTCTCCTCTGTCAGGGCGCGGAGCTTGGCTGTGCACACGCTCAGGGCCGCTATGCCACCCTTGCCTGTGCCGGTCACTCCGCTCCGCTGCCCCTCCGGGGGGACGCCTGTGGCTCGGATGATTCCGCTGGATCAGTTTTTGGCGGCTTGGTTAGAGCTCCCCAATCTGTCCCGTTGGGTCGCCCGAACTATCAGGCTCGGCTATGCGATTCAGTTCGCACGGTCTCCTCCCCGCTTCAGGGGAGTCCGCTTTACTATGGTCGGTGGCAATGCCCCGGTCATGAGAGCGGAGGTTGCTACCCTGCTGGCGAAGGGTGCAATCGAGGCTGTCCCTCCAGCCGAGATGAGGTCAGGGTTCTACAGCCCCTACTTCATTGTCCCCAAGAAAACCGGTGGGTTACGGCCAATCCTGGACTTGCGCGTCCTGAACCGCTCCCTTCACAGGCTGCCGTTCAAGATGCTCACGGCCAAACGCATTTTCGAATGCGTGCGGCCACAGGATTGGTTTGCAGCGATAGACCTGAAGGACGCCTACTTTCATGTCTCCATTTTACCTCGACACAGACCGTTTCTTCGGTTTGCTTTCGAGGGGCAGGCATACCAGTACGCGGTTCTCCCATTCGGGTTGGCTCTGTCTCCTCGCGTCTTTACGAAGGTCGTCGAGGCAGCCCTTGTTCCCCTACGCGAACACGGGGTTCGCATCCTGAATTATCTCGACGACTGGCTAATATTAGCTCACTCTCGAGATCAGGTTTGCGAACACAGAGACCTTGTGCTCCGGCACCTAGCCCGTCTGGGCCTTCGGGTCAACTGGGAGAAGAGCAAACTTTGCCCCGTGCAGAGGATCTCTTTTCTCGGTATGGAGATAGACTCGGTCGCCATGTCCGCGCAGCTTACGAGCGAGCGCGCACACTCACTGCTGACTTGTCTTCGACAGTTCGAGGGCAAGAGTGCGGTCCCACTGAAACTTTTTCAGAGGCTCCTGGGGCATATGGCATCCGCAGCCGCGGCAACGCCACTCGGATTGCTTCATATGAGACCGCTTCAGCTGTGGCTTCGCGATCGGGTCCCGAGGTGGGCATGGCATCGCGGTACGCTCAGAGTTCCAATAACTCCGACCTGCCGTCAGACCTTCACCCCGTGGCGGAACCTCAGCTTTCTACGGGCCGGAGTTCCCCTAGAACGAGTTTCCAGGCATGTTGTCGTCTCCACAGATGCCTCTGCCACGGGCTGGGGCGCCATGTGCAACGGTCATGCAGCCGCGGGCTCCTGGACAGGACCCCAGCGCCTTCTGCATGTCAATTGCCTCGAGTTGCTGGCAGTACGCCTTGCCCTGCACCGCTTCCACGCGTTGCTCCTGGGTCAACACGTACTTGTCCGCTCGGACAATACCGCGACAGTAGCGTACATCAACCGTCAGGGTGGTCTACGCTCTCGCCGTATGTCGCAACTCGCACGCCACCTCCTCTTATGGAGTCAGAAGCACCTGAGGTCCCTTCGTGCTATTTACATTCCTGGAGTGCGGAACCTTGCAGCCGACGAGCTGTCACGGCTCCGGCCAACCTCTGGCGAATGGAGACTCCATCCCCAGTCGGTCCAGCTGATATGGGACCAGTTCGGGGACGCACAGATAGATCTGTTTGCCTCCCTCGACTCATCCCATTGCGCCCTGTATTACTCCCTGACCGAGGGCACGCTCGGCACGGATGCACTGGCGCACAGCTGGCCGCAGGGCCTACGCAAGTATGCGTTTCCCCCAGTGAGCCTTCTCGCACGTACTCTGTGCAAGATCAAGGAGGACGAGGAGCAGGTCATATTGGTCGCCCCATACTGGCCCACCAAGACCTGGTTCTCCGAACTGATACTCCTCGCGACACACCTCCTTGGCCAATTCCTCTGAGGAAGGACCTCCTTTCTCAGAGACGGGGCACCCTATGGCACCCTCGTCCCGATCTTTGGAGACTCCACGTGTGGCTCCTGGACGGGACGAGGCAGGTTTGAGTACCCTGCCACCAGCGGTGGCGGCTACCATCACTTCCGCTAGAGCATCGTCCACGAGACATGTCTATGCGTTGAAGTGGAACCTCTTCGTTAACTGGTGCTCTTCTCGCCGAGAAGACCCCAGGAGATGCTCGATCAGCGTTGTGCTTTCCTTCCTGCAAGACGGGTTGGAGCGAAGGCTGTCTCCCTCCACCCTGAAGGTGTATGTGGCCGCTATCGCCGCATATCACGAAGCAGTTGAAGGTAAGTCTCTTGGAAAACACGACCTGATCCTCAGGTTCCTGAGAGGAGCGAGGAGACTGAATCCTCCTCGCCCTCCTCTCGTTCCCTCTTGGGACCTCTCAGTGGTCTTAAGTGCCCTGCAGAGGGCTCCCTTTGAGCCTCTGCAATCAGCTGAGCTTAAGATCCTGTCAATAAAGACAGCGCTCCTGGTTGCGTTGGCCTCCATCAAGAGGGTAGGGGACCTGCACGCATTCTCCGTTGACGAAGCGTGCCTGGAGTTCGGGCCCGGTCACTCTCACGTGATCCTGAGACCCCGGCCTGGATATGTGCCCAAGGTTCCCACCACTCCCTTCCGGGACCAGGTGGTGAACCTGCAAGCGCTGCCCCGGGAGGAGGCAGACCCAGCCTTGGCACTGCTCTGTCCAGTACGCGCACTCCGTGCTTACATAGACAGGACGCAGTGTTTCAGGACCTCAGACCAGCTCTTTGTCTGTTATGGTGGGAAGCTGAAGGGAAAGGCTCTCTCCAAACAAAGGTTGTCTCACTGGATAGTGGACACCATTGCTTTGGCATACCAGCAGCAAGGTCGACCATGCCCCCTTGGTGTGACCGCCCACTCCACCCGGAGTGTGGCGTCCTCTTGGGCTTTAGCGCGTGGCGCCTCGCTAACAGACATCTGCAGAGCTGCAGGCTGGGCGACACCTAACACATTCGCCAGATTCTACAATCTCCGAGTGGAGCCAGTCTCCGCCCATGTACTGTCTTTTTCAAGCTAACATGGGAGCTGTTAAGTGTCTCGCTTGCTCGCCATTCCACTCCACGGACTGGATACGTGCGATATTTCCTCAGGTGAGCCTTCCCCTCTGAAGCCCTGAGTTCCTCCAGCGCTGTTGACGCTGGCGCCAGTGTCTATTGCCTGTGCGTCGGCTAGGTGCCTCCGTGTGCATGGTTCCTCCTCTGAGTAACCCCCACATGTGTATTTTCCACTGTAAGCCTCTTTGAGCATGTGTCTTTCCCTCGGCAAGTCACCTGCCACTCCTGGAGTTGAAAGTAGATGCCACCCTACGGGCTGGTCACTCCAGTGTTCCTCCATATGAAGCCCCCTCGGGCCATATGTGTATTCTTAAGTCCTCCCTACGGGTAGGCATGCTGCGGCATATCTCCCCTGAGATATGCTTCCCAGTGTACCTTGGTATTCCTGTGTTAAGTAGGACTCCTTCGTCCGTGCCTATATCACGACAGGGAGGTCAGACTGCGCAGGGCACTGGAAGACAGCTGTGAAGGTGGCGTGATTACACGGGGACCCCCATTCTCCGTCATCCGACGTAACTCGGAGTGACTACGAAAGGGAACGTCTCGGTTACGGATGTAACCCTCGTTCCCTGAGTACTACAGAAACGAATACATCATCCCTCTTGGGCACTAGCACTACTGGAGCTGCCCGTGGGGAAGTAGTATACTCAGCATGGTCAATGAAGTTTTGCTTATTCACTGGAATAAGCAGTGCACGGTGTATGTTGACTGAGGGAGGTTGGTCATAGCAAGAAAAACGGTGAAATGTTTCCTTTTCAGTGTGTCCGATTCAACTTTTTTCAAATATCGCTTACTGCACCTTTAATTGATATACAGAGATTGCATTAAGGTAGCATAGCTATTCATTGTTGTGACATTACAAAGCCACTGAATATGCTTTAGAGTGTAATACTGTAATATTACTACAATTTAAAATAACTGCTTTTTGTTTTAATATATTTAAAAATGTCATTTATTCCTGTGACGGCAAAGCTGAATATTCAGCAGCCACATCTCCAGTCTTCAGCGTCAATCTATCAGAAATCATGCTGATTTGGCGCTCAAAATACATTTCTGAAAGGTCATTAATTTGAAATAGAAATCTTATGTAAGATTATAAATGTGTTTAATGTCACTTTTGATAAATGTATGTCCATGCTGAATAGAAGTTTTATTAAAAAAACAAAACAAAACAAAACTTAATGACCCAAACATTTTTGACCAGTAGTGTATATTGGGAACACTGTAATGCTGCCGAGCTGTTGTTTGTTTCAACTTCAAAGTCCAAAAAGGACTTTACTTGGCAGATAAGGCTGTTTTTCTACTCAAGAGAATAATACATCTCTTCAATAAAACATAGCGATTATCTATATGCTATTTGTGTAAAGTTTTCTTAATGCAATGTCATATGTCACCTAAACATGTCATGATCTTTCTGTAATTAAAAATGATTATTACCAAAGCATAAAAATAGTACTTATTTATAATAAAAATAATGTAATGAAACAATCCCCTGGTTTCACATACAAGGCTTAAACTAGTCCCAGACTAAAATGCATGTTTGAGCTGTTTTAACTGAAAGCAACTTGCACTGACAATCTTAAAATATGTCAGTGGCAATATTTTGTCTCAAGATGCACACCAGTAATGTTCTAGGGCACTTTTATAAAAGCTATTTAAATGCCCTAATTGAACTAAGGCCTAATTATGGCTTAATCTACCCACTGTCTGTAAAACCAGGCCTATATGTATTTGTATCAGTTTTTAAAAATAATTAGTTTTAATTAATCATTAACATATTGCTCCGCCCTCCTCTGTTCACTTAAATACATGCAGGCATGATTTTGGTTTCATATAATCGGATCGCTGTCTGCAGAAACATGGTAAGCTCCCATTATAATATTGCTTATAGTTTATTACATTAGGATTTTCAATATATTTTTCTCAATTAATTACAGGATTCATTAAATGTGTCAGTTGCATGTGATATTTTATACTTTTTTATACATGTCGATGATAAATTTCCCCATACCATTCCTCTAAATGACTTTACCTCTGTAAAGCAAACATGCTTTTATTATTCATTGTTGTATAATTAAATTCAACAGCTTCAGGTAAAACTATTTAAAGTTTAACATTGGATCAATTGGTTTATTTGCTTGTGTTTGTTGACTGTGAAGAGGCCTGTGGTTTTGGGTTTGTTTCTGTGCACTGTCCTTCCTCTGGTCAATGCTGCATGCTTCACCACTGGACACGAAACACAAGGTACATACACACATAAACTTTCCTTTGCTTTTAATGCATAACTAAAGAGTATGACCCAATTCTCTTATCCTTAATAGTTAAGTTTTGCCAGGACTCAACAGATAAGACTTGGCATCCTATTGGATCCACTTGGAGAAACAGTAAATGTATGGACTGTAATTGTTCTGCTTACACGACGAGTTGCTGTGATGCGTAAGTATATTAAATTTTATTATCTAGTGACATTACCTGTTGTAAATCCTCCATCAATACAACAGAATTGAGTTACTAAGGCCCTGTTCACATGAACACGGGTATTTTCAAAACCAGTTTGGCAGTTCGTCCACACGCAAACGCAGTATTCGGTCACTGAAACCAAACTTTTTTGAAAACTGCCAGGGTAAATTTTAGAAACTCCGGTTGCAGTGTTGTCGTGTAGACGGTGAAACGTACTCGGTTACCAGCGTAACCTCGGTTCTCTCTAGAGAGGGAACGAGTATTGCGTAAGTTGAGCTTACGCTACGGGAAAGATTCATCTTCTCGAGATATTGAAGCCAAAAAATTATCCTTAATTTGTATTCATTGTCAACGCAGTGCAGCAGCTAGCAGACCTAGAGCAGGCAGCCTTGCGTGCTCATTGGCTGCCCTGCTGGCATCTGCTGCAGCCTACCAGTGAGCCCGGCGTGACGTCACGCCCAATGAAGGGCGCCCACGCCTTCATAGTGTCATAGCCCGCCAGAATGGGCGTGGCTTAGCTTATAAAAGAAGGGGCTGTAGGCTGAATTCCCTGGTTTTCATCGACTGAAGCGAAGTCGCTCGTGGCGCGAGCACGGCCGGTTACGCAATACTCGTTCCCTCTCTAGAGAGCACCGAGGTTACGTTAGTAACCGAGTACGTTCTCTTACGAGAGGTTCTCTCGTATTGCGTAAGTTTAGCTTACGCTACGGGAACTTTTTGTCAACGCCGTGCGCGCCAGGCAACCACCCATGAGTCGCCGAGGTTTCTCGGGGAACCCAATAAGTGGAAAAATAAGGTGGCCAGGGCCATCAGTCGTACATAAGCACACGTAGGGAATACAGAGCAGAGCACTGGTCTGTATAAGCATATAGCATATAGATTCATCCTTCTGGCTCCCCTAAGGAAGCGGATGACCAGCTCATGTCTTCCCAGTGACTGGCCGTGCGTCGATTCTGCGAACGCCACCACGGCTGCCACATAAACTTTGAGCGTGGATGGGGACCTCCCTTTATCCATCAGCTCTTGTAGGAAAGTGAGCAGATGCACAACCTCGCACGTCCGCAGGTCCATATCTCTGTCGGTGCACCACTTGGAGAACACTGACCATTTAGACGCGTAGAGCCTTCTCGTGGAAGGAGCTCTAGACTGCGTGATCGTGTTCATTACTCTTTCTGGCAGGGCAATGAGTACCCGTTGATCAACCATGCGTGCAGAGACCAGAGCTCTGGATGGGGATGCCAGATCGAGCCGCGAGCCTGAGAGAGGAGATCTGCCCTCACCGGAATAGGCCACTGAGGTGCATGTGACAGCCGTGCTAGTTCCGGGAACCAATTCTGATTCTCCCAGTGCGGAGCTATGAGGAGCACCGAGTGGCGCGTTTCCCTGATTCTCTTGATCACCTGTGGTAACAGGGAGACCGGAGGGAAAGCATACAGTGGGAGGCTGGGCCAGCGCGTCCTCGTTCTTCGAAAAGAAAATCGGGCAATGAGCGTTGTCTTTTGACGCAAATAGGTCGACTTCCGCTCTGCCGAATAGGCGCCACAGTTTCTGGACTGTTTGGGGGTGCAGGGACCATTCCCCTGGGGGAACGTTGTTCAACGTTATTCTCACTTTTTGACGCGCGAGCAGCGCTTTGGGTGGAAAAGCTTTCTGTAAGCGTGAGCCCGTGTGCGCAGGCACGAGACTTACAAGTGTATTTGACGCCCCGATCATAACGGATGGGGAGCGTCTTATCAATGCCCTGCGTTTTGTGATAACATTTAAACGCGCGGGCGGCGCCCGGGGGGAGGTGTGTGTTAGTAAGCGTGAACGCTCTCCGGCGGGCACGAGACTTACATTCATAACCTGTTTTATTGACCGTGTAACAGAGCGGGCAGATAGTGGGCACAGACCTGTCGACACATTTCTTATATTCAACACTCGATCGTCCTTTCTGCGCTTTATGAGAGTGTGCTCTATGAGTGACACGAGATTTGATGTGCTTGTGTGTAGGGGTGAACACTGGGGCGTGGGCACTTTCACTACACTTAAAACACCAACGGAGTGAGCCGGACCAGACACTATACTCTTTTTGAGATTTCTCTGGGTCGCCGTTTGTGTGCAGGCGAGAGGGTAAATGAACCGGCTCGTTGGCTGCCAAATGAACCACTGCAGTAGCCTGTTTGAAGGGGTCTGTCAGGGAAATAACCTTTGACGGCGGTCCGGCCGCAGCAGGCCATGAACCTCTTCCTGCCGCGACGCTCAAGCTCCGCCACAGGCCGCTCTCGCGAGAGACAGTGCCAGCCTCCGGCGCGAACCAGCACCCAGCGTCCAGCACAGCCTCAGCCTTCGCAGCGACGCCCGGGCGGCCGCACTAGGTCGCGCTCAGACAGCCCCCCAGAAGTTAGGACGGCTTCGTGTGCTCAGACTTCAGCGTGATCTTTTGCCGAGGCCCTCTGGGGGGCCGCCCTGGCGTCGCTGCGAAGGCTGAGGCTGTGCTGGACGCTGGGTGCTGGTTCGCGCTGGAGGCTGGCACTGTCTCTCGCGAGAGCGGCCTGTGGCGGAGCTTGAGCGTCGCGGCAGGAAGAGGTTCATGGCCTGCGTGGTCTTCTGTACCTCAGAAAAACGGTCAACGATCCCGTTCACCGTTGGGCCGAAGAGAGCAGTAGGGGAGAGCGGCGTGTTCAGGAAGGTGGCGCGCTCAACCTCCCTCATATCCGCGAGCGTTAACCAAAGGTGCCTCTCTGGTAAAACAGCCATGGAGTGGAGAGCAGATGCGGCCTGGCCGGAGGCGGCATGTGCGCGGCCGACCAAGGCGGACGTGGCTCTGCATGCTTTGGACGGGAGGGCTGACCTTGACCGCCATCTCGCGGAGGGCGGACAAAGGTGCGCTGCGACCATCTCTTCCACAGGAGGAATAGCCGTGTATCCTCTCTCGGCGGCGCCGTCCACTTGGGAGAGCGACGCGGAGGCCTGAGACTGAAGCCTCGAAGAGAAGGGTGTGTTCCACGACTTTGTCAACTCCGTGTGAAGCTCCGGTAGGAACGGAGCAGGCCTGCTTGCTGGGGCTGAACGGCGGCGACTTTGCAGGAAACATCCGTCGGGCCTGTTCGGCGCGGGTTCCTTCGGCAGCGACCACTCGAGCCCGAGTCGGTCAACCGCCTGCGTCAGCAGACGCATCAGCTCCAGCGCGGGTACGGCCAGATTCCTGGATCGATGAGGAGGCGGAGTTTAGCGACCATTCCTCACTATCTGATGCCAGGATGGAGCAGCAGTCTCTCGTGGCGTGTCCTTCGGCCTCATCCTCAGACGTGACGGCAGTGAGGCTCGTGAGTGGCAGCTGCACGTCGGTGAAGGGAGGCAGGGAAGGCGAGAGCGAGGCGAGAGGGAGGTTCTCCGGCGAGCGCGTCGCTGTGGCCACAGGTTCCGGCTGTCTCTGGGAACGGCGCTTCTTTTTGCGCGGTCCCACAAAGGGCGGAGTGACTGCTTCCGGGTTGAAGGCTTCGAGTCGAGCCCGCAGGGTCGACAGCGGAAGCGCTTCACAGAACTCGCAGCCCCCGGACGCGAGGGCGAGCTCCGCGTGTTCCTGGCCCAGGCAGAGAGCGCAGATCACGTGGCGGTCTCCGACGCTGAGCGGGGCCCTTCACGAGCCACAGGAAGTGCGAGGCATCTTGAAAAAGAAGCTCGCTGCTCTTTTAGGAGTAAGAGAATACAATAGCAATGTAAAAAAGGATACGTCGCCGGATAGCGTAGCTCGCACGGATGGCTGAAGGTGGCGAAGACGGCCGGCTTCCTCAGCGCTGTCCTAAGCTGGCTGTTCGCTGTTCGACAGCGGCGGTGGCTTCTCTCAGATCCAGCGATGCGAAGAGCTCGCTGAAGAGACGAAAATCAGGGAATTCAGCCTACAGCCCCTTCTTTTATACGCCAAGCCACGCCCATTCTGGCTGGCTATGACGCTATGAAGGCGCAGGCGCCCTTCATTGGGCGTGACGCCACGCGGGGCTCACTGGTAGGCTGCAGCAGATGCCCGCAGGGCAGCCAATGAGCACGCAAGGCTACGTGCTCTAGGTCTGCTAGCTGCTGCACTGCGTTGACAATGAATACAAAATTAAGGATCATTTTTTGGCTTCAATATCTCGAGAAGATGAATCTTTCCCGTAGCGTAAGCTAAACTTACGCAATACGAGAGAACCTCTTATTTTTTATACAAGAAATACTTATTTTTTTAATCCATGTGCAGAAATTTAATTGAAAAATACTTTAAGACCCAAGGCCACAGTGGGGGATCACTGTTGCTCTCTATTACAAAAGCATTAGGTTAACTCATTCATTTTGGTTCCCTTTCGAGGAAACGTTGCGTCTGTTGCTGACACTATGGGAATGCCTTCAGTGTGTGTCACACGTGTCTGAAGCACGTGTGTAATCACGCCAATTCTATTGGCAAAGGAAATCATGACGTCTCTCAACGCGCCGGCATAACCCCTCCTGAGCCTTCTGTTTCTTCCTAATCTCCATGACGAGTTGTCGCCTCGCATAGTCACTGGTTCACCATCGAATTATTCTAATGTGCAAGGGCTACGCAAGCACAGATGTATGAAGATGTCTCAAATAGAAGAGCTTGCGGGCTACCTCTCGCTCCCTCCAGTGTTTCCCCTAGAAATTTTTCCAGCAGCGGTGCTGTCACATGCCGGAGGATGTTACCAAGTCGCGCGCGGGGGGGTCCGGAGGCATGTACCTCCGGAAGATTTTTTTTTTTAAATAACCCCTTTAACCATGACTTCTGGCAAGTTTTGTGGATAGAAATCGACATTTTGAGACATACAAATATGACATACCATCAACAGATTCAAAGCATGATTATTGCAGCACGTACCTTGAACTGGTCACAAACAGAAACCTTCATTTTATAATTTTAGACAAGATTTTTCACGTTTTTGTTTTGTGTTAATTTTCAGCTATAAGGTAGATATTGATAGGGGAAAAAATGAAATGGCACAACCCAGAAAAAGATTATTTAGAATTTATTGAAAATTTTATCTTAATGGCAAAGGCCACACCCAATCTGTGAGCACTTAATTTTTCTAACATTTTTATATTGTTCACTCAATGTGTTGATGTTAGATAACGCATTAAGTAATGTTAATGAATGGTGTCTTATTGTAGTGTTACCAAACAATACAGGAGATATAACGTGTTTTATTTGAATTGACTGTACTTTTATTTAAATCCAAAACTGTGTTCATATTTAATTTTAAAAGGCTTTTAAAACCTGCTAAGAGTTATCCAGCCAAGAATAAGCCTAGAACTGCTTTTCTGACGGACTAATAATGAGATAAACCGTACTCGGGTGTCAGTCCGATACTGTGCTCATGTACTCCGACTCGCAAAACTACCCCGATACAACCGCACCCGAGTCCACTTTAGGGGCCGTTCACATATCGCGTTTTTTGCGCGCAAATTCGTTATTTCAATTGTAGGCGCGCGTGGCGAGATGAAAACATCGTAACATCTCATCTCAACAGGCCATGAGACAAAAACCAACCGATCAGCTACGGCCTTTCCGTAACAACATCGAAAGCTCGGCCGAAAAGCTGATCATAGCTGTACAGTGCGGCTTTTTATTTCTCATCTCCATAAATATATCTAGTAGTAAAGCTAATGCAAGGGCTAGAAATCAATTAATTCTTTGCTGATACTTCCTCGTCCTCATGGAGAGCGCCGCTTTCTCCTTTCCAAAAGCGCTTGCTCTCCCGTGGCGTCTGTCGTTGCTATGCAACCATGAACAGAGGCGGCCTGGAAAAATGAGCGCGCTTCCAGTGCGCCTACATTTGAAATAACGAATTTGCACGCGCAGAGAAACGCGTTGTGTGAACGGCCCCTTATGGCAACGTGACATTAGCCTAATCGAAAATATTTCCATATGTGGCTCTTTCCTCCTTTCTTGTCAACAAGTGGATTCAGAGTCACCGCATTAGCAGCGCCGCCGCTCGCCATGTCTCAGTGTTTTTAGGTGTGTAAGTGAATGTCATGATATTACTGATCATCTGAAGATTTTGCAGCGGCGCTGAAAATCCAGTGGCGGCGCTGCGCCGCTGCTAAATACATTGTAGGGGAAACACTGCCCTAGTATGTTGTTTTGCTCCACGGAAGGGATAGCCTGGATGCCAGCCCGAACGCCGCCCACAACATTTTTTGGTCGGGAAGTTCGGTCTGGACTCGATCCATTGAGGAGTAATTATGATCGGTTCAGAAATCGTCGGGCCAATCAAATTGCCAGGGCGGGCTTTGTACGATGATGGATAGATGATCTGCAGTTACGTAATCATCACGTTATCAAAGAGCGCCTGGGTTAAACTGGTTTCCCTCAGAGAAGACTGCCGCTGGAGAACTGAGATGTATAGATTCCACTATCGCGTCTGTTGTAAAAGTAATCGACAGCTCATTCACTTTAAAAGACGAATAGAGAACTGCAATCAAGGCATTTGTCGATCGGAAAGATGTGTTTGCCGTCCTTCCTACAGGATTCGGCAAAAGTTTCATTTATCAGCTGGCTCTGATGGTCACTAAGAAAATGGGACGCAATGAAAACCCTGTGGTCGTTGTGGTTTCTCCTTTGGTCGCACTCATGGAGGACCAAGTAAAAGAAGCAACACTCATTATTTTACTACTTCTTCCAGCGTGTGTGTAGTTGAGTTGTGTTGACAACTTTGCGTAGCTCATAAAAAAAAACACTTACTGCGTTGCTCTGATTGGTTGTAGGTCTATCCAATTGAGTGCAGAGTTGTTTTTTTCCTGGTTCGGTTAAGAAGACACGCCTCATAATCAAAGCCCTATGGAGCAGCATCAGACTCACATTCTGACTAGAATATGAGTATGACGAAGTCAGGCTACGGAAGGGATCCACTGTGCAGCACTTTTAGGATCAGGGTTGAACAGGCAACTGACAGTGTAGAAGAGATGGACAGTATCGCCATGGGCGTACCACCCATAACCTGTCACCTTCCCTTAGTTAATTAACTAGAGGTTGAAGTGCAATCAGGACTGCATTCCCCACGCTTGGGTTGCTTTTTAGAAACTTTTATGATGCTTGTGAAGGTGGAATAAAATTGGTTGATTGCCACAGGCTCTTGGTCTACTCTTGCTAATCTGGCTGATACTACGTCTACAGCTTTTCTTGCTACCTCTTCTCCCATGGGTTCTAGGAGTTCTATTAGAAGGGGCATTGAGTTGAGGTGAGTGTTCATGCCTCTGAAATCTGTGCTTCAGACACCAGTGCATGCTAAAGGCGTTCCCATAGCATCAGTGACTGACGCAACGTCTTGTTCCCTTTTCAGGGAATCGGGTTACATGCGTAATCCAGAGACATTTTAACATAGGCTAACACACATACATTTTGTGGCACAGTGTTGTACTAATATGATACATAACAATTCCTTTTATTTTGTTTAATTTCTGTAGAATGGCGACTCCCACTTCATATCCTGACAAGTGCACAGTGGAGTATGATTACACTACATGCACATATGAAGTTTTTGAGAAAGTTCCATGTGCTCATGGTGCTATTGGTAAATGACGGCCATGAATTATAGGGAAAGAAATCAATCATAATTTTTCAGTTTTATCTGCGGATTTAAAGGGTAATTACAGAAATGTCCAAATGAACATGAAATTTGTAATACCGGTCAAAGATTAGGAATATTTTAGATTTAATGTTTTTGAAAGAAGTCTCTTACTCATGAAGTGCATCTATATGAAATGTATAATAATTGAGGATTAAATCAGCATATTTGAATGATTTCTGAAGGATCATGTGACACTGAAGACTGGAGTAATGATGCTGAAAATTCAGCTTTGCCTTCAAAGTAATACATTTCATTAAAAAATATATTCAGATAGAAAACAGTCATTTTAAATTGAAATAATATTTCACAATATTGCTGTTTTCACTGTATTTTTGGCTGGTAGTGTAAGTTAACATGATTTGAGGTATTTAGGCAAGCTTATTAACTGCATTTGACATTAAAAATGTAAATGAAATTACGTACATAAATTAAAAGATGTAAATTCTAGTTTACATTTTTAAATGTACACCTGTGTTTATATCAATAAAGCTGAATCAATACAATGTGTTTGGTAGCATTTTTTTTTTTTTTTTTACAGCAGCACAGACCAGTACTATCTTGACACTTTTTCAAATATGCCTAAACTCTTAATGGTTGAAATTTGGTGGATAACATGGTTAATGTGATGCCGTCAATATACAGCAACATTTTCACTAACATTTCTTACCACTAGATGGCAAAATAACAACCTTAATAATGCCTTGGCTTTCTTTATTGCTTTAAAAAAAAGGATGGAAAGTTGTTTTGGAGTCAAGGGGCTGAGAGAGACAATGATTTTGCACTGTCTGGCAAAATCACGCTCACACACACACACACACACACACACACATTCTCTAACATAAACACACACATCCACACTCCCTCCCACACTCCATCAATCTAGAAGCAACTGGGGCAGCGAGCAGAAGTGTGTCAGATTGTTGGGTACATGTGCACATTTACATGTGTGCATTTGGGTTCTAGAAACTTATTTCTGTCCAGAGACATTTTTTTCTGTAAAACATTCACTCTGCTACCACAGGACACTAGAAGAACAAAGAAGACAAATTCAGTCTTTTGGAGAATGCTTTCTCCAAATTACGTCTCCACATAAGGATTACGGATTGTTAAGGACCCTGTGAAACCTTATTTTTCCTCTCATGGTCACTTTTATATTTTTCCTGTAGTCCTGACATTTGCTTGACTCAAACAGTGCTTTACAACATGTGCAGACTTTGGAGGATAGCAGTTTTGCTCTGTGTCAAATTGGTGGGCACTGCGAATGGAAATACAGGACTTGTGCCGGAAAGAGGGACTGCAGCTTCCTCCTGCTATGGGGGTTTTGACCTCTATTTTGTTCTTGACAAGTAAGTTATCCTGTTATTTACCACTTCTCCATGAATGGTTAAGCATGACAACACTCCATAAATGCTGTGTTGGCATCTGCATACCATATAAAACTCACAATGAGTGAACCAATGAGTGAACAATGAAAGTGATGCTTTCATGTATTAATGTTGTAACCCATTGTTTCAATGGAAACTAACTCAGTCACGTCCGTCTCTTTAGGATACTTTGAAGATCATTTTAAAATGAATGCCTATGCCATTTAAACACTCACTGACTGAAATTCATTACATAAGATGCAAAATAAGTGGCGTCTGCTGACAAATGCTGCACATTGTTTTCTGAGAAATACTTTTCTTCGTAATTTTTGCTCAGTGACTTTTATTAAAGTCAGTTCTCCTCAAGTTCACACAGGTGTCCTATCAGATGTAGATCATCGCAGTAAATATTATCCACTAATGTTCAGCAACAGCAAAGTGCCCAAATAACCTATATTTTGTCTTCACTATATCTATTTTTTTATACTTATTATTATATTGTTACATTTTTTGGTGAAATATTTTGCTTTAGATTTATATTTTATCAGTTTAGTGCAGAATGGGATTGACATATTAGAGAGAGAGAGAGAGAGAGAGAGAGAGAGAGAGAGAGAGAGAGAGAGAGAGAGAGAGAGAGAGAGAGAGAGAGAGAGAGAGAGAGAGAGAGAGAGAGAGAGAGAGAGAGAATGATGATAAAGATAATTGTTTTCCTCTGTAACATGTGTCCCATCTAACATGAGGTGAGAAAATTGCATGTTTGGGGTCAATGCGGACAGTGGTCCCCTCTGAGGGCAGTTTACAGATATGCAGCCGTGAGCCAAAAGCCTGCAAGGGAATGATAGATTAAACAGCTGGTTTAAGAGGCTATTTGCCATATTAGTTCCACATAGGCAGTTGAATAGAAAAGTAATGTACTTTTATGCATTTTGACTACAAATAAAGGTTGCTTTAGTTTTTGTTTGGTAGTATGCATGGCAAATCACAAGCTATCTTGACCTAATTTTGGCGTGTATTGTGGCGAAAGCCCTAGGACTCATAAGAACACATGGAAAATCAATCACATATGGCCCTGAACTCAATCATCATGTTTGCCTGTGTGCTGTACACAATATGAATACACACACATGGACATACATTTGATTGGATGTGGGTCACAGTTTCCAACTATTTCGATTCTACCAGTCTAAACTTTGGCTCTACTTGGCAACTTTTCCCCTGAGTGTTATGTTCATGTTCGACGAATGTGTTTTAAGTCAAAAATAACACAGCTGTGTTTCCTAATACATGTAAATCATTCGTCATGGATAGCCTGGCAGTTCAGCTGTGAATGTGATGTTTTTGTTGGACAGATATTGTTTTACAGTGACATACAGCTGTATCTCAACTCATTTCCCCTTTACGCCACTGCCTTGGATCCTGTGTGTAAATCGAATTCTGTTGGATCTAATTCATTTTCGCTTCGTCCGTTCGCTTTTTTGTATTCAGTAAGAACATTTACATGAATATAACAATGTTGATTTGATGTATTGCATATTGGCGCAAATAACATGTCGTCATTTTCAGCAGCCAATGGCCAAGACACTCTGTCAGGGGTTCACTCTTTTCATGTCTTTCATCATCTACAAGACTTGTGAAGTCAAAATATTATTGTTCTATTAGAGACACAAAATTAATTCTAGAAATGCGATGGGAGAATAAAGTTAATGAATGCAATGATGACAGAACATGCCACCAAAGCAAATAGCTAAGTTACATTCATTTTAGGATTTGATTTGCTGTCTAATTTGACTTTAATAACAGCAGCACTCAAAGTGACTCTGATGGTCTTGTTCTTCAGAATGATTTCCCATATGATTTGAATGATTGAAAGGACATCAGTATGTATTTAACATTCTAACAAAACTTTTCTTTGATTTAAATTATTTATTTCTTAATAATGTTAATAACACCCCCTTTTTATTGTGGCATTAAAGGTACGGTAGGCATTAGGCAATCTGAGATGCTAACATTAGCAAGCTAGCTTTGAAAGCATGATTTCCCACACTCCCTCCTGAAGCCATGCTCTCAAAAGCCACACCTCCTTCAAAACACATGAACGCAGCAGTCTGCATATGGTGTTATGAGAGATGGCGTTAAACTACCTTATGTCTCAAGCCTCATAACATTACAATCATAATGACCGAAAACAACTTACAGAGCTCTGGCTGTACCACCTGACTGCTGCAGATTCATTAAGGTGTTGATAGTGTTGACATAGAAACACATAAGTCCGAGTCTGAGGACTTGACGGGTAGAACGTCAAGGGTTGCCATCTCGTAGTTAATGTAACAATTGACACGGCGTGAACGCAGCATAAGCTCATTGTTTTCGTTCAGGAGGAACTATAAAACGCTGCTGTTTGTTTGTGGAGCTCGGTGACCGTCTGTCTTCAACTCTGGATAGCCTTACAGAACGCGCTGATGACGTGTGATGTCTGCGCGAGGAGGTATGGATGGAAATGCATATGCTGACAGGCTATCAGGATGTGAAGAGTTTTAAAGTGTTTATTAAAAAAAAAAATGCAGCTACCTTTAAGGCTATTGTGTGCCTGCACAAAATTCAGTGTAAAGATGCAATTACAAAAGCCATACTAAATCTTGCATGCTCTGACCCACCTCAGCCCCCAGTATCAAAGTAGACAGTTGTAATTTGATTGTAAATTGTATGCCACCTCTGAGCAGCATTAAATAGTCGATGTAAAGACACCTAAATGCCACTTCAAAGCGCTCCTGTGGCACCTTTTTAGTATAAATTTGGCAAGATACAGACAAATCTGACTATTGCAATAGTTTCAGAATTATTTTCCACATCAGATTCATGTATTTTAAATGTTATATACACAACTCGTCATAATCAGTCATGTGGTGTTTAGGCATGTGCCGGTATCAAATTTTCATGCTGCAGTTAATTGATTGAGCTTTTATCACGGTATATGGTATTATCACGATATTTTAATTGCTCAAGAGAAACGGATGGATTGTGGGTGACAACTTGCATCACAATGTGTAATTGTGATTTTCAAAACATGGTAACTAAACAGAATTTTATTAAGTTTAGTGACAACATGTTACAATGTTTACATGCTACAATGACTGGTAGGCTACTGTTTGTATTATTCAATTAAATTCTTGGATTTGATTTCAATCTTAATTCAATATTGACTCATTTGGATAAATATTAGGTAGGCTACAGTCTGCATGTTAATTTTTCTCAAGAAAAAAATATACAGTATCTCACATAATGCTGTAAACATACAGAGAGAAATTAAATATAATGCGTTTTTCATTATAATAACAATTATGCAATGACAAGTAAACATATAACAAATATGTAATATAGTGCACATATTTAGCAAAATACTCCTCGCTATTTTTTCTAGTCAACTATGCTGGTCATTAAATGGCATTCCTGAGGTAAATGTAACGTTCTGTGACATAACTGTTTTCCTGCAGTTTTATTGACCTCTTTCCGTGCTTGAAAAACACTGATTGATCGATATTATGTATGAGGCATTTACCTTTCAGTAAGTTGTACTGTATCTTTAAATAAAAAGTAACAGATGATCGGTTTACTTGAACTGAGGCGCAGCGATCTGTCACAATGGACAGAATCTAAGAGCTGATTTATTTATTTTTTTTCATATCAAAAGTAACCTGCTCTTTCTAGTCTGTCGGTGTCAGTGTCTCTTTGCTCCGCGATTTTTCTCTGCGTGAGAGCGTGTGAAAAGTGTCAATTGCGTAAAGCGCCTTTCAAACAGGACGCAGAATGCGTGGCGCTGGTTTGGTCGACGCAGAAACAAAACGTCCCCCCGCGTCTCGCGCGTATTCCACGTCCTGTCTGAAAGGCGCTTCTCAAGCTGAATGCGTGAGAGTTGGCAGCCGTGCGGGGGATAAATCGTCAGCAGCGTTCCTCCTTCCGCCATGCTTCTTCTCCATGTGAGGATTGTTTACATTAGACTAGAGTGCACACTGCGCCGCATGCACACAGTACTTATACATGTGGGGATTGTTTACATCAGAGTGCGCACGTGTTTTGCGCAGCATATACGCAGTGTTAAAGCGGTTGATGGAAAAAAAGCTAATGCGCGTTCTAAAAGTCTAAATTCGAATATATTATTTTTCACGGTATTTTGAAGTGCCCGCGATAACAATATCGTGCATATTCACTACCGCGATTTATCGCATTACCGAATACCGGCACATGTCTAGTGGTGTTACAGTAGAATCTTCAGCAAAAGAGATACAATGAAATTAATTTAGCATATAAAACATGAGCCTTTGAGCTATCATGGGACAATGCCTACCATTAAGTTCTGGTTATGTTTACACGGGTTAAGTTATCTCCTTGTATCTGAGTTATGGGAAAGTCAGGGTTTGGTTGTTCTACTTATGGGCCATCTCTGTGGCTCCACTTTATAGCTGTGGGCTTGATGGTTTGGCTTCTGTGCTCAGGAGGGTCTGTGAAGGACATTTACTGTTCTCCTCCTTTTTATTCAGCTCAATCACTTCTGCAGAAAGTGCAACAAGAGAACAGTTTAGAAGCAGTGTTGGGAATAAAGGCACATGTGTTATGAAACTAATAATATAACTCATAACACTAATTACCAAGGCCCGTTCTGGAATTGTTCTGGAACTTCTGGTCAGTCACATCATTCTTTCAACTAAATATTTGTCCATTGTCCCAAATTTTCAGCATACCGGTCTTTTTTTATGTCTTCACGGACAAGTTATTAAAACTAATTGATACCATTTTGGTACATGTGACACCTGTGAATTGGATTATTGATGGTCAGCAAAGGCATTGGTTAATAAAGTGAGATTAAATGCATAAAGTAGGCTATATTGGTGTAATTTATTATATTTAATAATTGTAGGTTTGTGTTATATTCTGAGTTTGCATTTCACTGTTTTATTCATTTTGCAGAATACTGAACACAGCACACA